AGAAAGGAGGGTGAGGTGTCTGCAGACTAACATGAAGAACTTGGGCAACAAACAAGAACAACTGCAAATTCACCTCCAGCCACAGGGCCACAACGCAATCAGAGTCCGGGACACTGGCTGGGACAGCACATATGATTTTGGCATTATCATGGAGGAGTTACCAGGGACAGACAGGGAAGAAGGGGAAGAGGGGAAGTCATGTGCTACGTAGAGGAGCTCCTTGTGTACATGGGGTTCGAGAGACATGCTTGGTGAAAGCCTCTGGGTCACAGGGGGAAAGAAAGGTGGGATGTGGTGGTGGTGTGGCTGCTACAGATCACTCAACCAAAAGGAGACAAGAGATGAGGCTTCCTACAGACAACTAGCAGAAGTCTGGACAGCTGCTGGGAGGACAACACAGCATTTGTCAGGCAATCTGGAAACCTCACAGACCCTCTCAATGATTATTTTCTGACAAAAATACTGTAAGGGCTAAACCTGTCTAATGCTTTACTTATCTTCTGCTCACAAACAGGGAAGAACTGGGGACAAATGTGGCAGCAAAAGGCAGCTTGGACTGTAGCAACTATGACATTACTAAGTTCAGGATCTGGGGGGGAGGCTGGAAGGGAAGGGAAGCAGCAGGCTTAGGACTCCAGACTTTTGGAGAGCAACGTTCAACTAGCTGAATTCCCTGGAAAACAGCCAGGTAGAGGAAAGGTACCTTGAAGACTGGCTGCCGCCACCTCCCACAGCATTTGGAAACAAAAAGGGTACTGTGGTCAATGCCTTCATGTCCAATACTAGTCAATAAAACAAACTCACATGTGTTTTAGCCCATGTAGCTGCACTACGTGAGGTGCGTGGCCAGCAGATCAAAGCTGGTCGGGCTGATCAGGCTGTTCCTTGAAGAGTGCCCAGTGCCAGCTGGCCAGGTCCAGCTCCCCCTTGTCCTCTGCCTGGTACCGGGCTCAAGAGGAGTCTGGAGGCGATCTGGCTGCGGGCCTGGGAGCACAGGGCCGAGAGCGGAGGCAGCACCCGCGGGGGTAGGAGCCCGGCACGGCCGGTACTCACCGGGGGGCAAGAAAAGCGTCGCCCGGATCCTCCCCTCTCGCACCGGGACTCTCCGCACCCCGTCCCGCAGGAACGCCCGCTCGTGCTGCACCTGGGCCAGGATCCGCCCCGGGGGCTCCCCGTGGCCTTCAAACACCTCCAGTTGCAGGAGGAAGGGGGTCTGCACATCCCGCTTCACCAGCCGCCTGAAGGGCTTCTGGGGCTGCAGAGCCCAGAGCAGCCCCATGGGCTCCAGGCCGGAGAAGCTGCCTCCCGGCAGCGCGGGGCAGCGGG